CGATTCGCTAGCGAATCGCTGGATCCGAGCGTTGCGCCAGCGAATCGAACTTTGTACCAGCGAGTCGAACTAGGTACCAGCGACTCAATAGTGGCGGGACCCAACGTTCAAAGGAAGCCCGCCACTTTCAAACAGTGTCACGTGACAGTGGACACTGTTTGAAAGTGGCGGGCTTCCTTTAAACGTTGGGTCCCGCCACTATTGAGTCGCTGGTACCTAGTTCGACTCGCTGGTGCAACGTTCGATTCGCTGGCGCAACGCTCGGATCCAGCGATTCGCTAGCGAATCGCTCGATTCGCAAACTATGACATCGGCCTAAGCAGGTGAGCATTCCCATGCCTTATCGATCAATACCTTTGAAAGTTTCCTAGTCTAGTGAAATAGTCTTGAGTTTTTTGTTGAGGCGTTTGAGCGAGCAAGTTACACATGCTTTTGACCATTTCAGGCTCTGACGAAGGCGAAGAAGCCTTATATAAGGAAGTTCAATCTTGAAAGGCTTGAAGAACCATTTCTACTGGTTTTTTTTCCAATTTGAGCGCCAAAACCCACAATTATAATGTTAACAAAATAGGAAGCAGATGACATCATCCATCATACTAACTGTCTTTAATAATTTAATGGTTTGCTGATTATGAAGAATTGTCTCTCGAAGAAACAGTATACCACTAGAGTTTAGATTATCCAGTCCGGTAAGAAATGCGCTATACTGTTGGGAAAACTCAACTCGATCCGAAAAAGATCGAGTTAAGAATAAAAACACTTTTTGCTCCACCCACTCATTTTCTTGGCACAAGCAATGGCAATCAGCACTGACGCCAAAGTTGACAGTTCCTTTGTTGAAATGTCGTTCTTATTTCAGAGACGAGGGCATTCAATATGTGAGGAAATTGCGAGAGGAAAACGTTCCTTGCGAGTGGAAACACTACAAAAGAGCATATCATGGAGTATGCAATTTTCCAGGTAGTTCGGTCGGAAACGAGGTCATCGCCGATTTTTGCCGTTTCTTGAAAAAATACATCTGAACTCAGAATGAGCTAAGTAACAATTTTCGTTTGAAGTACTGTCCCCGTGCAAAACCGCAGCTGAGAATGAGTCCACAATGAATCTACACACTATCTGTACTTCCTCGTTATCCTTCACTTGTCTCCCTTTGATCTATGTTGTGAACTTTTATGAATTGTTGAATCTGATCTGTCACTCCCATGTGCCACTATTTCTGAATTATTCCTGTAGCGTTCCATATATTGTGACCATCTCATTGTAAATAACTGATTAATGATATTTGGGAGAGTTAGGACGAATGTTTTATTTGAAATGGCCTGTTTGTTGTGCAATACACGTTCTCCGACCAAAATAAATCATTTTAATGTGTAATAATTCGGTCTAACATACAATTCATTCTACTTAAAAGCAAAGGTCGGGCTCAGCCTCACTGAAGAAACCCCTTCCGTATGTGGAGGTGCTAGGTCCGCAACTGTAGAGATCACGACAACTTTGCTCCACCATTAAGATGCTAGGCGCCCACGATTTCACGCCCGGGTGAAGTATACCCACCACCGCTCGATGTCTCCTCTGTGCCGTATCGATTGATCAGCTGTGCTCTCTCACTCGGACCTTTTTCACCCTCTCCGCGACACACATCATCTCCTACTTCGCTGTCTGCCTCTTAAACTTCTCCGCAGCGCAAGTATGTTCGCATTTTCTGTGTTTCGGACGATGTTTCTTTTCTTTTCTCTTCATGTGGTCCATTTCGCATCACTGCTTTCGCACTCGAGTGGGATTACCACACCAAATTGATCCTGACCCTTGCCTTTAAGTTCACCATTTGCCGTTTGACATCTTATGCCTTTATCTTTTGAGACGTGCTCCTAATTCATAATTTATGTCATTATCATCCATGTACTACATTTTTTCACTTTTACTATTGTCATTTTGTGTTTCAATTGATTATTTGTTACATTCGTGTGCTTCAATTGTAAACAATAGCTAAATAAATAAATAAAACAGCAAACTAGCATTGGGCGGAGTCCCAACAAGTTTTTTACTATCCGAGCGAAGTGCTGGCGGCGCTGGTTCGTCCTTTCGTGACGTCGCCAGCACGCGCTCGCGTCCGCGCCACCGGTGCGCTTTTCTAGCGCCCTTTTCACGTGATGCCCGCGTGGGACCATGCACTTCTTCGCACACGCATTGCCTCTCAACGTTGGGCAACATTATCCGGATCTTCTGTCTCCTTTTTGGATTCAGCAGTTTACTATATAATTACAGTTTCAAGCTTCCAGACTAGTATATATTTATCACGTTATGCACAGCAAAGGAGATGAATGGTACACTCGGTAAAATCGTGTACTCACACGACATACCTTGCAAACCGAAACGATTTTTCTCGTGGGAGAAACTGAAAGCAAGCAGCAAAGTCTCAACTTCCACAGCAAAAGGTTGCGGAAAAAGCAGCATTGATTATGCATCAACCCAACAGCAGTACACGGACAGATAAACTGATAGAAGGGTTTGGATAGAACACAACCTCCTACTCGGCCTTGGCGTGATAAACGAGTTGATTGCGCTTCTGGATTCTTTCCTTCTCGAGATAGGCACGAAGTTCAGCCGGAGTTGCCACCACATCTTTGCTGGTCAGCCACGTTCTGTACGCCCGTACCGTAGCTGTCAAACAAGCAGCAAGCGATGATTGAAGAATCAGAAGCAGAGACATCCAGAACAGCATCTGCATGAGTGAAGTCTAAATACGAAAAATTAATGAATGTGGTGAAATTCGAAATAAAGTCACCTTCAAGGACTATTCACTGAGCTGTGATGGTGTGTCTACAGTTAGCGAATGTGCTAGTTGCCCCAATAGACTGTAGATGAGATCGATTGTGGTCGCCTTCCACTTAGCTTGTTGACCTTACAATTGGCCCCCACCCTTCTCCAGGCCGAAAGCATTATGTAAGCAAGTTTAGTTTACCAAAAGGCAGCTTATTAAAATCAAGGTGGAATGGTCATTGGTGCCGGGACGAAGAAGAAACCGTGAGAAACGGCTCACCCGAGAAATAAGACCCCATCCTTGCCCGTCGATTTCGCATTGATGCGACTCTCATCGGTGCTGCCCTCTTCAACGCTAACGCTCTCTCGTTGC